AGTGAATTTGTAAATTATTCTCAAAAAGTTGTCTGTCTGGCAGAGCCACTTTCTCCTAATAGCCTGCAGACTACTCTTTTCAGGACAAGTAATCTTTCAAGGAAGATGTTCTTCACTGTATTACATTTGGATGTGGACCCTGCTCCTAGACTTGAGCATTTAGGAAATGAAGAAATGGAGAATGAACAATTTGAAAAAAGGACCAAATGCCTAAATTGCAAACTCACTTTTTAGAAAATCAAAAATTAAAAAAATAATAATAAGCATTTATTTTGTTTTTAATTTACCTGCTTTAGTGCTTAAAATGGAGGTAGCTGTTGTCGTGGAAACTAAATAGGGAAGACAAGATTTATGAAAATAGATAAGTTGAACAAAATTTTGGTAGGAAATTTAAAGAACACAGTTGTCATAAACAAAAATTCAATCTCTACACACAATTTTAGAAATTTAATTACAAAACAATTTTTCATTTAAATAAATACAAGTAACACTATATAAGTCCACCAATAATTATTCCCTGGTATTACCAGTTAACTGAAATCCTCCCAGGAATTATATAATGTCTATTTATAGTTCTAGAAATATACTTAGCCTCTGGTAGATAACCCATAATAACTAAAATTTATAAAGCACTTTCCAGAAGGTCACCTATCTTTAAATATATTATCAAAACCTAAATCTTCCAAGCTCTGGATTGATTCCCCCTCCAAATATTAACAGCAAATAAAATCCCTTCTTAAATCATACAAGGCAGGAATCTGTAAGCATATCATAGCAACTCCCAAGAGTATTTAGACTGCCAGTAAGTACAATGTCCCAAAAGTAAAGCTGGACTGTATCTTGCCCAGACTCCTCTTGAATGGACATAATGAATTGCCTCTGTGGTTTAATGCTAATGCATGAATAAAGAAAAAGAAATTAAATTTTTATTTTTGTGTTGTCAAATCAACCCCCCAATGTAATGATGATTTAAAAATATTAACTTCACATTACTCCTATTTTATTATTTAACTATTATCTAAAAATGTCAAGCTTTGGATGATGATATTCATTCAACTATTTAGAATAAAATACTTATTGTATGTTCTAATCATTTTTATAATTTAATTTATAGGAATAGAATAATAGTGACATTTTAATTTCAGTTTAAAATTTTCATATCAGCTGATTTACCTCACATATTTTTATTATCTCAGATTAATGTGAAACTCTACATGATTATCTTCCAAATCAGAAATACACATTTTAAATATAATGATGACTTTACCTGTGAATGTTGAATTTGTAGGAGCAGGTTCTGAAATAATTATAACTTAGTGTTATTGACAGAAATAGAAAAATTGGGGGAAAAATGCCTCTCAAGTTACTTATAAGCCATGTATCTGACTTTCTTTTTTTCATTTACATTTTTATAGTTCTTAATCCAAAAAAGTCATAGCTCGGGTACTCTTTTGAAGCTTATTGAGATTTTTAAGATATCCTTTGCTCATGAAAAATCCTTCAATTATTTCTATATCTGATCTTTTCTATATTGGTTCTCCAATATAGAACCTTTTCTCCAATACAGAATTCTTTCCACTCTGTATCTCCATTAAACTCTTTTAACTGATGCCTCACTCCCTTTATTCCTAGGACCTACAGAGACAGAAGCACACATCAGTAAAAAACACTCGTGTGTGTCAGTCAGGCCCCATCTGACAGCTATTCAAAATGTCTTTGCTGCACTGGTTTTGAAAAGTGACTGACTCACCAGGAACAATCACATGGAAATGGAACAGTGCCAATCCCCTAAGGAGCAGTCAAAAGCATTAAGTACCTGCTTCTCTGATATACATGGTATTTAAAAAATCCCTTATCTCATCTGTCCTAAATCAATTTGAGTAAAATGTAATGACTCACCATTGCACTCCAACTCCCCAGCAATACAGTTGCTGAAATGTAAATTAAAAAAAAAAAGAGTTTGAAATTTTGATTCCTAATGACAGATCATAGATTTAAAACAAATTTTCTAACAGTGAAAATCAAACAATCAAGTAAGAGAAGAGTAATTCTTTTCCCCTAACGGCATATTATTAATTCAAATGGCTTGTTTTTCATGTACTAATGATTTCACTGAGTTCTTGGGACTTGAAGGAAGGGTTTACAGTCAAGCTGTGATGTTTCCAACACAAATTATTTAATTGTCATGCTACCCTAGTATGATCTCATTCTTACATTTCCATGTCTGAAAGCTATAAGAATGATCTTACATTTATAGAATTACAACCTTTTCCCCTAAAACTATAAGGTGAAATTTTCTGTCCTGTCTTTTTGTATTGTTAAGCATAAGATTTAACAAACCACTTGTTGATTTGTAAATTTTCTTAAATACAAAATAACTAACATTACTGGCATAAAACTGCACCTAAAATCTTGTTTATAAATGCCAAAATTAAAATTTACATGTGTGCATGTACACACACACACATACAAACACACACACACACACACACACACACACTCCTTAGTTTGCTTGCTTTCCTAAATGAAAATGCAAATAATAATAAAATAAAAGAGTTTACTGAAATGAACAGTAGTTTACCATGTTCTTCCACAATTATCTTCAATGACTCCCCCTGCTGGAATGACGTCATTATAGAAGCAGCTGCACTCAGATAAACTGACACATTTCATGGTGTTCTCATCCAGATAGGGAGCACTTTCTGGGCATTTGGCATAACAACCTGTATGTAAAAATGATCCGCAGTTCCTCTTTATTTACTGATAGGCATCAGACTGCATTACATATTTGTAATATTACTTGAATGACTGCATAAGCAGTGGATGACAGAAAAACATCACACATATAATAAAAATATAAGTGAACAGGATTTAGATCCTTTTGCAGTGAAATTGCAACTGAAGAACTTATACATTCAGGTAATTTTTTTTTCCTAAAATGCTTTCTAAAATGTTTTTAAATGATTTGCTGCTTTAATGATAGACATGATGTTGAACATGCAACAGGCTTTGGTAAATATGTATCTTGAAATGGTAATGTCCCCAAATATCTACTTTTATAAGAGAAGATGAAGATACAAAATTTACAATAAAATCAGTTGCAAATATCTCAAAGCCTATAATTTAACACAGATGTGGCTTTTGGAAAGTTTTTGTATCATCTGGTTTTCTTGCCAGTTTCTTTCTTCTTCTTTTTTCTTTTTTTAACATCTTTATTTATTTATTTTTTATGCTGAGGATCAAACCCAGTGCCTCACACATGCCAGAGGAACAAGCTACCACTTGAGCCACATCCCTGTTTCTTTTGTTAAGAATAAAATGTTGCTTAAGTATCAGATACTGGTAACTGGCTTCTATTGAAGCAAAATTGTATGATGTATCACATTCTGAAACTTCCTTCTCATCAAATTACATCCTCTAGGGAAAAGCATGAAGATTGACTATAGGATCATACCCCTGTTCTCTCTTCCTGTGTTTCTCTCCTGCACCACTAAGAGATAATTTGTGTCTAGAGAAAATGTTTCTAATGGAGAAACATTGTCATAATAAAGAAAAATCATTATGCATTAAATTACAAAAATGTAAGACACTGAATTGAGGAAAACTAGTAAGATTTTTCAGTTGTAAAAAAGCAGTATAACTTTTACTACTTTGTGGATATTATTAGAATTTTGTCATACCTTCTAGAACTGCAGAAAACTTCTTGCCAATGACCCGATCCTTGCATGTCTTTGCTGTCACGGTACCACAAGGTTCATAATGCCAGCTGCATTCCCCAGGTGCGTTGTAGTAATCACAGTAGACAGCTATGATTTAATTACATCAAATTACTTTTCTTCATCATCTGACAATTTCAGTTTCTAAAGCACTTTTTAAAGGGATCTTGGATAATATTAACAATAAACAGACCTCAAATGTATCACTGTCTTACCAAGTTCCTTTGGCTTTACCCAAATTGCCATATAAACCCAAACAGCTCATTTAAAAAAGGAAGGAGCTAATAGACTCAAATGACTTCTTTCCTTCAGCATCACACCAAGATTGGTTTGAGATGCAAACATAAGCATTCACTTTTTTCCCATTTGGAGATATTTTAGATAGTAGGTTTAAATTTATGGTTTTAATATTCAACTTAAGTGTGGAAAAATAAATTTGTGGGAAAATTAAGGTTTTAAATTATGTGAGTAAAAGTTCCTAATTGAGGTAACTAAAAATGCCAATATAATATAATGCTGCTCACTGTAAACTGAATAAGATGAGGATTCTTTTTTTGATGCTTCTCTTTGGTTATATTTTCTCTCATAATGTCTTGCTTAGAGTGAAAAGAATTGACTGACTACTGTCAAGTTCCATAGATATCAAGACTCATTCTATATTCAATTTATAGTTCATCTTAGCTCTATGAAAGTCTTCAAGGAAACAAAACATGTAAAGATTTCAACAAAAATTAGCATATGAGGTAGATGTTTGGGATTACAAACATATACCAAGATAAGAAAACAGTGTATTGCTCATCTAAATATGAATATGAGGGATTTTTTTAAATCAGTATTCAACTTTTTCCTCTGTAAACACAAGAATTTTTGAAACTAATATTGAATTGAAATGCTATGCCAGTTGCTATATATTTAAAGTTAGGTATTTTTTCCACAATAAATAAAAGTATTAACATGTTTTTAAGCATTTCTTGGTTCAACATAGAAAATATGAGAAGTAGACAGACTGTTCAACAGAATGGTTTTATCTAGTTATGTTTTCCAAGAACCACCACATGGACCTGACTTACGACAGAGGTTTGGCTTTCTCCAGGAGACGCAGACTCCAGCTGCACTGCATGCCTCTGCATACATCGCCACCGCAGTACAAAAGCCCTGGTACTTCCCCTCCATGTCACATGCACAGGCTTCTTCAATGCATGCTTCATAGTAAGCATTGGGGTCAACCTAGGCAGAGCACAGAACATGAGCGTCTGGGAGAAAACCCCATATAAACTGTTGCTTTCAGAGCAGGACTACCTTGCTGTGGCAGTCAGTGAAGGTGCTGTCTCTGATGATTTCACATTTCCGTACAGCCCAGGCTTTGCAGTATGGGTTTGAGTCACATGGGAAACTCTGAGTTACTGTGTCGGAACATTCCTGACTTGTTTTCCAACTATTTCCAAATTCCAGTGCTCCAGTAGCCACTGATGAGTACCTTGTTGTGAAATCATCTTTGAGGTCCCCATTGTTATTTCCACAAAGACCACATACTTTGCCCTGTGTTTAGAAGAAAGGAAAAAATTAGAGATGATTTGTATTAGGTACATAGAGATGGAGAGAGATATACACTATATCATAAACCTGCTAAATTCCAACTTTGGGAAGACAATCAAAATTTATGGAAAAGATTTTGCTACCATTGAATCTGAGGTAAGTCATACTACAAAATGATCTAGTATCAAAGAAGAATAAATGCATTAGGAATGAAAGCAATTGTATTTGTGAGTTTCAAGTTATTCATCCACCTACTCTCAGGTTCTTATAATATTTGCTTCAAAGAACACATTTCATTCAAAATACACACCTATCTCAAAATTATTATGTGATTCTCTCAAGCAACCAAATATGGTTACACTAGATTTCTTCAGATTTATTGCATTTACCATGTTACCAGATTTCATCATTTTTTATTGTGTTTCTTATTTTGTGTAAGATTGAAGAGGTGTGGAGGGCTTACTACTAAACAGAGACCCCACCAATGTCCCACTCCCCACTTGTGAATACCTGCCTCTGAGTTTCATAACAGAAATGAATTTGCTTCCCCCTTGATCACTTCTTAGTAACACACGTACTTGCCACTGTGGATCCAGTAAAACAGACATTCTTGTGTTTTTGTCCCAAATCAGGCTCATTCCATTTTGAAGTTTCAGAATCAAATACAAGCCCACAGTATGTACAGAGTAGGCGTTTTCACTGAGTTCACATTCTTGACTCTCTGTAGTTTTAACTGTTGTTACTTTCCCATCTTGTAAGACAATATTCTGATCCTAGAAATGAAAAAAAATAGAGTAACAGTTTCATTTGGATGTTCATAGTCTAAGAGAAAAAGCAAATGAAGAGAAATAGTTCTGTACCTTAAAGGCAACTATGATTTTCCTTGAGCAGGTAAGCCCATCTTCACAGCAAGGGACACTCTCAGTTAAAATACGGAATGTGCCGTTTTCTTGACCACAGTAATCCTTTAAAAGTGATATTATCATATTAGTTTATGAGACAAAGAACTCAACTGCAATATTGGTATCACACAATTGTTTCTTAAAGAACAATTCCTTAACTCAATAAATCACTATATGAATCACAGATATAAAATTATACATATTAAGAGGTTAAGAAATGTGCCCAAAGTTACACATTTGTGATATGGAATTTCCAAAATACAATGATGTAACTGCATTTATGGGTAACCTTCTCTGATTCAGCCCTATTTCCATTACTTCCACAATGGTTTAGAATTGTACCATAATGTATAAGTATTTAAATCATGTGTTTGTAATAATTGATTTATTTCTAGGCTGTGTAAATAGCTAAAATGAGCTTTTCTTCCTCAGTGACTTATGTAAAACTTGATATTCAATCAAAACTAGTATATAAATACAAAGCAATCAAAATTTCAACCATTAGATGTTACTTAGGAAGCAGCTTAATTGTAAAAAGCATGAACTCTGGAATAACATTTTTTATTGTTTGAGTATATTTTCTCTTAGTAGTTACTTAATCACTTTAAACTCGATTTCTTCATCTGCATCACAAGGATATGAATAGTCTTAGGTATTATAATTATTAACTGCAACAAAATATGTAAATGTTCCTGGCAAAGAAGCACTTATAAAATAGTAGCTGTCATTGCTTCTACTGCTGTCATTAGAAAAATACCTAACTTTTGAAGCACTTCACATTTGTGGTCTCATTTAGTTTCAAAAAGGGGCTATTTCTGTGCATACTTTATAGATATACATAACTACACACATTAAGAGGCTAAGAAATGTGCCCAAGTTAAAAATCTGATTAATAGCAGAGTGGGCTGAAATCTTAGGCTGGCCTCCAGAATCAGCATTTGTATTGTTTCATATTTTACTGGCTTCTAGAAGCTTATAAGCGGCCTTTTTTCAATTTTTTCCCATTTTGAAAATAAAATTTTCCTGAACTCATCTACAAATGAACAAAGTACAGAAAAGTTGTCACAAAACACATCAATAATTACCTCAAGGAATGAATACTGGCAGAGACCATCAAAGCTGTAACTTTTCCCATCAAAAGTTCTAATATGACCTTCCCCATAGATGTGGCAGGTGGTCTGACATTCATTTTGTGTGCAGTTCCAAGATCCTTTTATACAAGTACTAAAAGGAGAAAATTTAATGTGATAATTATAATATGCCAGGATTCACTTACTTATATTGTTTTTGTAAAGAGGCACCAACTAATGTTTCATTTTTACTTAAGTTTTAGAGTTGTCTTCATATATTATCTGAATATCATTATACATAGTGCTTTCTAATGTTTCTATTTTTTAAAAAGTAGCATCTTTTTCTAACTGCATTTGGACATTGCTTTTTTAAATATCACAAGGTCTGACTGCTCTTTCCCAGGAAAACTAAGAACACATTGTATATTTTATAACATCCAAAATAAAAATAGTAATCCTTTATCACGCACCATTCATTGCAGCCAACCGAAGTGACACTTCCTTGGTCATATTCTCGTTCCCCAAAAGAGCATGGGCAATCATCAGGAAAGACACACTTCCCTTTAGAATTTCTAACCATCCCAACTGGACAGTAGCACCCACGTTTGCAAGGCAAGTTCTCCTACAGAAATAAATTTTTAAAAATATACCATGAGACAATGTTGTGATCAGGTCAAATAATCAGTATCAGTTTAAATATATAAATATACCAAGTGTATTTTTAAGGTTAACATCTTACCATTCAAAATAACATACACATGCACAAAACTTGTCCTTCTAATTATTTTTTTTTCTTAAAAATTTTAATTTCCTTCTGCCCTAAAACAATAAGAACTCTAAAAGGCAAATGTGCAATGCCATGTTACTTACATCAAAAGCAGGTATGTTCCAAGTGGAACATGTTTTATCAGTTCTTCTCTGTGCCTTGGGATCACTGCAGTCTACATACTCAGCCCCTCCAGAACAATTTTCTGCAAGATAAAGGAAGTTGTTTATTAATCAGTTTATTTTAGCCACAGTAGATATTTTAGGCTTGTACCATAGCTTCAACACTTACGTAGGGTTAAATTGATGGGAGTTTGGCAAAGAAGAACTCCCTCCTGACAGACACTGGAAAGAAAAGAAAATTATACATTTAAACATTAAACTCCAAGGACAATTATATGAATGAAACAGTCTCTTGTAAGTACTAGAGGAATCTAGAAACTTCCATGGACATCACAGAAAAGGTTGGCTGGATCTTAATGGATAAAAGTCAACAGATACTACTGACAAAAAGCAAAACTGTGACACGGAAAGAACAAGTTTCATGAGGCATGTTTGGGTTAAAAAATAGAATTCACAATGGAAAACCTGAATAGGGTAGAGGTGAAGAGAACCATAGTTTAGGGGCGCTAGCCTAAATTTCTCTAAATAGTCAATCTCTTGATTCCCCCAACAACTATAGAAGGAAAGAAAGTATTATTACAAAACTCCAACAAATGTTTATGAACTCTGATGGAAGAGATACCTATTCTTCCCTTTGGAATGGCCAAGAAAAATCTTTTGTTGTTAAATGATAGCTTCATGAAACTAAAGAGAGAAGCCATGTCCAAAATTGTTTGAAATGACTACTTCATTCTTGTAAGTTATGTTGACAAGAATTCCTAGTTCATCTATGGAATAGGAAATATGGATAAATTACTTAATTTCAAACAGCAGAGATCAGTCTCCTCAGCCATTACAATATAGTAAAAATTATTAACTCTTCAGGAACTGTCTAAATTCCCGAGTATGATCTAATCACGTTTCAAACCCTAACCTATGCAACAACCCACATGGGCAAAACTTCTTGTTCTGTTTAATCTACAGAAAATAATTTTCCACATCTCAGGTTTTTTTCTGGAAAAAGATTTAGCCTTGGGAAGACCTCAAATAAGTTTTTGTTTTGTTTTGTTTTTGTGGGAGATGTCCTTCAATGCCTCAGCGAATGGCTGGCATCTTCTACTCTATCTTACAATACACAAACATCATTTTAACATTCTGCTAACTTTGAGTCCAAGACAGTGTTCACACTTTTTTTTTTTTTTTTTTTTTTTGGTAATTCAAGCACTCAGCATAAGGCTAGCACTTACTATGGGTCTGCTGGATGACATCTGCTAAACCCCTAGGAAGCATTGTCTGACCATGAAATCATTTTGCACTGTCTATTTATAGGAAATGCCAGGATATGTTTCTACTGGTGTTTAAAACCAAACCGGAGTAGGGTAATCTATGTATGGTCTCCAGAACAAAACAGTCAAAAGTTAACTTTGATAATGAAAAATGAACCTAGCCTAAAGACTTCATACTAGCAACCGACTCTCTGAAGACAATGCAATCTCTTGATTTCAATGACATAATAAGAATACATGCAATCTCCATACCATTTATTGTCATCAATTTGGATGGTTTTGTCTGGTTGTACAACCTCATCATTTATGTAGCAGTCACATTGAGATTTCTGAACACAGTTTCCTTCATTATTCTGGTATGTTCCATCTGGGCAAGTACATCCATCAACTGGAATATCTTCTACATCACAGCTCCTATCTCTCTCTGTCAATGATCGGCAAGAACTATTGCAGGCTTTTACATTGTATTTGAAAACTAGGCCACTTGGACAAGATTGTTCTGTAGGTAGAGGAAAAAAAGTAACAAATATGCATCTGTCCAGGAGGGAAAAAGGGTACACATATATATGTTAATATTATAGTGAATGAAGCATAATTGTGTTTATGAATCAAAAGGAGTACTTATTCATTGGTTTTTCTCACTTTGTTTTTAGTCAATATTGAGTTCCTACTGTATATTTAAAGATTCTGCTGGGAATATCCTCCACCAGGATAGTAAACACACTGCCCTCCTATGGCTTACATTCCTGGTTAAAAAGAAAATGTGTTCATGCAATGATGAATACAGATGAGCAGCACTAAGTGTTTATAGCTGGAGATTTCCACTCAGGGGAGGGAGTGGATAGCTGAATAGCAGGAAGGCAGCCCAGAGAGAGGTAAATATATGTATGGGGAACAGCCTATGTGAGAAAAAAGGATCATTCTTTCAAAGAACCCATAGAAGGACAGAAGCTGTATAAGTCCAGGGACAGAATCAATGTTTCAAACTCACAGGGACTACATGATTAGTTTTTAGTCTTAGAACTATGATAATCCATTGACTTGATTTTCACTGGAGTGTTCTATGATAATTTACTTTTACTTGGTTTTATTTTCAAGATTATCCTGGTTTCTAAATAGAAAATGAATTAGAAGCAGCCAAGACTAGATACTGAAGGAGGCCTTTGCAATAATAATCCAAAAGAATAAATGGTGATTTCTTGAATTACATGGTGGCAATAGAGATGAAAAGATGTGATAAGATTTTGTAGGTGACTAACCCTATTAAGCATAACCTATAAGACAGGTTTCAATGTAGTTTGTTTTTGTTTTTTCCTTTTGGTAAATCAAGTATTATAGTGAAGTCATAATCATAGAGTAACAACAAATATTTTAAAACAAAACACATGTTTATAAATATGATAGTTGAGCCCCTGGCTTACAAATATTTTCCAAAATAAATTATTATTATTATTATTATATCATTTCAAAATAATAGTTAAAACATTATTTAAATTTTAGCATATACTGCTGAAAAAAAGATTACTACATAGTCTATTTGATTATATGTAAATATATTAAAGATGAATAATGATATCAAAATTCAAGGATTGCTCAATGATATTAAAAACAAAGAAACATTTTTTAAAAGAACCAAGGACAGTTTGAAAGTACATGTGCCTAAACCATACCTTCTATTTCTCTCCCTCCCTCTCTCTCTCTCTCTCTCTCTCTCTCTCTCTCTCTCACACACACACACACACACACACACACACACACTGATACACAGAATGAAGTGAAACTGAGAAGGAAGTCATTATCTGAAGCCACCATCCCACTTACCACAACGTCCTGTTCTCCATCCATCCAAGTATGTTTCCTTCTCAGCACAAGCTTTCACATAGTTGCCTAAAATCGTACACAGGCAGTCCTGACTCTCTTCACAAGAGCAAGTGTATTTTTTGCATTCCTTTAAAATTAAAAAAAGTTACATTTCATTTTTAAATTATTCGAAAGAACAGGCAAACTGGATGTAAAAATTCAGCTCATAACCATTCCTTTGTCCTGAAAAAATTATGACTTTGAAATATTTTAGAAAAATTTTAAAATATTTTAAAAGCAAATTAATTAGTAATCCACTTATCAAAGAACTTAGAAAAGAAAGAAAATCTTATCCAAGATTTTTATCATTTGGGGTTATTTTCCAGTACTACATTTTTTCTAAATTGATATATCTAAAATTTGAATAAATTAATGGAATCTAAACTTAAATTTAATTATATACTTAATCTATTGACAATAGCTATTACTAGAGAAAGTTTAAGGTCTACATGTTTTTTTTGTATCAACAAAATATTTCTCAAAAAGGGCTCTTAATGTTAACCCTCATACCTCATGATAGAATTTCGGGTTCACAATTGAATGGCAGGAAGCAAAAGGCCCACTTGAATCAAGAAGAATTTCACAGTTACTTTCAGCAAACTTTTCTGGAAAGAAAGAAATGCACACAAAATTGT